AAACAAACCAGTAGAAGGACCGGCGCGCCGTAAGGCATATCGGTGTACGAATAAATAAATATATAAGATACTATATACTATAGAGAAGATAAATTAGCCGGTTTTTATATAGCTACAAGCTATTTACTACGAGTTTTTTACTATAGACTCGGAGCAAGGATAATACTAGAGGGGTATAGCGGACGGCGGTTATAGTAGTTAAGTACCTTTTATTTGCGTTGCTTATGTTTATCGCTAGTGCCTTTCTTTTGCTTTGCTTAAATTTATCGCCTTACGTTCTAACCTTGTAGCCAAATACTAGTTGTAAAAAGTCTATAATTATAATATCCTTAACCTAATATAATATAAGATCGCTAGATATAGAAGATAGTCTACTATAGAAGACGGTCTACTATAGAAGACAGTCTACTATAGAAGACAGTCTACTATAGAAGACGGTCTGCCGCTAAAGGATCATTTCTAGGTATAGCAAACTCGTAGTTAAGATAAGCTTCGCGATACTAACTATCTTCTATTATAGAGACGATCTTAATACTATAAGACTACTTAAAAGGTAAGACGATCTTCATTTCAAAATAGTTTAGAAGTTAGGGGCTGATTTTATATAATAACGGTTTTTCGGTAGAAAACGACTTTAGTGTAAAAACGCTCCAAAACGCTCTCTCGGTCTAAAACGATCTTCGAATAGGACCCACCTTACCACTTCAAAACAGTTTTCTGTGGAAAATGGCCGTACGCTGCAGAAATGGCCCTGGTGACCGTCCTGTACTGTGAAAATCGTCCCTCATTTCGAAGATCGGTTTGATTGGCCAAGACCATACCCAAGAACGTTTTCCCAGAGTAGGGTGGCGCCTTATGGTAGTTTTCCGCAATCCACTTTGCTAGCACTTGACTCGGCGTGATGTGTGGTTCCCGGTGGTTTGGCAACCCGACGGAGGATGCACCGACCATCTGACCATCGGGCCAGATCCGGGGGAAATGCTGGCTGCAATCGGGCCGTCCTTTCACCTAGAAAAGTCCGAGGTCGTATCGGGGAATGGGATGAAACTAATCCGTGTTTTAGATGGCCTCGTCGGCTCGGACACAGAGCGCTCGAATGTGCGATGCCCCTCGGACAGACATGACTTGTCTTGCGGACGACGACGACGCTCCATCGGCTAGCGACTTCTGTTTCATTTGTAGTCGCGCAATCCCTGCCGCGATTCGTATTAACATTTGCTCACATTTGCGCGTCATTTGTATATGTGATGAGATTTTATCACATCTGACCGTGCTGACTTTTCTGGATATTATCCTAATTTTCAGCCCGTCAAAACAGACGGTACGGATACCACAGCGTATTACGCCGTTTGGTGATTTTGTATCGTACACAATCCACTGTCATCCGAAGCATCCCCACGCAACCCTCACCGCCTCTTGCTGACCGACCCAGCTGGCCGGGTCGCTTGCGGAGCCTCCCCACCTCGTCTTCTGGGATGAACGCTGTAGCGGTATGTAGCGCCACGCAGTCACGCACTGTTTGGCAGATTGGATGACAGGCGGGCAGCCGGAGTTCCGTGCGACGGTTGAGGTATTGACGCGCAGATGCTTGGGGGAACCGATCCTGGTGAAAACAGAACCGCCATATCGATGCCGAGTTGATGGGACTGACAGTAAATTATACCCACTCCTCCTTTTCCCACACCATACTTTCAATGCCACGTCCCTCAGAACAACCACTCCGTCAAACGCCTGTTGAATCCGCCTCACTGCATCCAGTCTGCCAGGTACACAAGATCTACCGCGCACACTCTACCCAGCACACGTTGTAGACAAC